TGGGATGAGATGATGTGAACCAAGTCAGCGAGCCTGACCACCCGATCCCGTTAGTCGCCTCTTACGACAAGCATTGCTTACAGCAGTTTCACACAAGTGTATATGCTAGATAACAGCTTCTGTGTATAAGGGAACAAACCAACTACTTTTTTATCAGAATGCTCACTTTGGATACGTGGCTAAACGATCCCGTTAGTCGCCCCTTACGACAAGCATGTTTTACAAGACCAATCCTAACCCGGATCCTCACGTGTCAGATATGCGATAAAAAAATTAGCAGTGTTCGTTAACTTGGCATTATAAATATTTACTGCTTAGGGTGTGTTTTACGACCCTGTGTCTGCGGTGCGCTAGTGACTACCCTTAACCCTATTGGTAATCCAAGTTTTACTGATGAATTCTGTATTTAACATATGATATCAATAACTAGATTAATGGAATGATATCACAAAGATATCGGGTATCATGACAACATATTTACGACGCGATCAAGCAGCCACCCAATCAGTTAATCGATCGATCGTCCAATCAATCAATCGATCAACCAATTAATCAATCGACCGACCGATCCATGCATCCATCCATCCATCCATCAGTCCATCAGTGCTATTGTAGATACACAATCACCACGAATCATTACATCTAATATCACACATTAATACTATTTACATCTGCTTCGTAGTGAGGTGAGGTGAGGTGAGGTGAAATTGGGTTTTACGTCGTGCTTGAGAATATTTCGCTCATATGACGACGTGCTTGTACTAGTCCAGACTTATGCTGTTTTTTAGTGCTAGCCCACTGAGATACCATACCGCAGTGAAGCATGAATACCCCACTCAGACACATTATACTGACTCCGAGCCGACCAGTCCTTGTTGTACCCATTAATGTCGAGCGCCAGGCGGGACAAACAAGTACCATATTTTAACGTCTTTTGGTATGACGCGGTCGGGGATAGAACCCGCGACCTTCCGCTCTCCGGGCGGACGCTCTAACCACTACACCACGGAGGCGGTCTGCTTCGTAGTGGTGAATGATATGTACAAAATATAAATATTATGTATCCGTATTAAAGAATGCCCCGGCAATGTAAGGCTAGTCCAGTTTCTGGGCTGTGATTATATATAACAATATCAAGGGAAATCTACCAATTATCTACAACCATTATCTGCATCGCTGATTTTTCTAGCAGAGCTATCTTTTGTAGGCTGATAAATCACACTGTTAAGTTGTGTATCCGATGTGTTGCAAATATTAAACATTATCTATAACACTAGGGGACGGTTATATCCCAAAACTTCCATCCTAATACTATCACACATTGTTAAAACAACAACTCATCATCTTTAGGTAATGTGCAGTGAACTGAAACAACAGATAATGATACACATCACCTGACTTAGCAGAGTACAGATTTTAGTAGAGAAGCGAGCAGTTAGTTAATAAATCTGAAATATATGTAACATAAATTCGTGCATATTTCATGGAGGGAAAAATTGTAAATTTTGTTTTCTTGTTTTACCTTGAAATGTTGTTGATTACGTTAAAAATATCACTTATGCAAGCAATTATGTACGTTATACATTTAATGTACATGTTTATTAAAATATGTAGTTTTACAATATGACATGGCTAATGAGTTTTGAAATTTTATATTTATTGCTTAAAAGGGGCCAACAAGCCAAACAATTCCTTTCAATTTTGATTTGCAAATATAAAGTAAAATGTAGCAAAAATTCAAAATGAGAATATGAATTGTATTATGTTTACTTGAAGCTCTACTACAAAACATACTTGCACTACCAAATTCAGGCATAAACATATAAATCAATTTTAAATAAATAAGGAAGTTGATAATGTTATGGTATGGACATTGACATAAATTGTTATGGTAGTGACACAATAACGGTAGTGACATTTTTAATAATAGCCAGCATTATATGTTTACTTTAAAATATTAAATGAAATTTGTCAGTCAGATATTTCAGAATGGTTAAAGAATATGTAATAGGAAAAAGATTTACTTATGGATGTCCCTGTCATGTAAAAAACAGGTACAAACGGTATATAATGCTCCAACAACAGCATAGAGTGACAGGGTTATGACTGTCAAATGTGCAGGAGAAATCTTGGACACTATAGGACATACATTCTACATAAATGTTCTACATAAACTAGAAAAGATATGCATTTTTGGTAATAACCCTGCCTTAATAAAATATATAATTTATTACTAAGTGATTGTTTGTATTGATTACTGATTAATGGCTTAAATCATTACAGACTGAGGTAATCAGTGTGTGCAGTCAACCAGAAATGTTGTTGTTTATAAGCTGTGGAAGTCTCGGGATGTGGAAGTCTTGGGATGTGGAAGTCTTGGGATGTGGAAGTTTTGGGATGTGGAAGTCTTGGGGTGTGGAGGTCTTGGGATGTGATTGGGATGTGGAAGTCTTGGGATGTGGAAGTCTCGGGATGTGGAAGTCTTGGGATGTGGAAGTCTTGGGATGTGGAAGTCTTGGGGGGTAAGTCTTGGGATGTGGAAGTTTTGAGATGTGGAAGTCTTGGGATGTGGAAGTCTTGGGATGTGGAAGTCTTAAGTCTTGGGATGTGGAAGTCTTGGGATGTGGAAGTCTTGGGATGTGGAAGTCTCGGGATGTGGAAGTCTCGGGATGTGGAAGTCTTGGGATGTGGAAGTCTTGGGATGTGGAAGTCTCGGGATGTGGAAGTCTCGGGATGTGGAAGTCTTGGGATGTGGATGTCTTGGGATGAGGAAGTCTTGGGATGTGGAAGTCTTGGGAGGATACCCTAGTGGACATACCGGATAAGTAACAGAGTGTGTGGGTGAGTATAGGTTTAGTATAGACTGACGTTCAGTCTCTAAAGATAATTTTTTTTGATGAAAACAAATCATTCCATTTAAACGAACAGGAGTCCAAGTAAGATCGGAGATTCACACCTGAAAATGAGGAAAATCTAGACTGGCTTCAAGATAACGATTTTTGTTGGAGAGTTACTCGGATATCATCCAGACTGCGTCTTGATAAGTTTGTGGAGTCCAGTATAGCGAACGCAGAGGGCGGTGGTTAAAGCGTTCGCTCGTCACGCCGAAGACCCGGGTTCGATTCCCCACAAAGGGAAACCCAAAGGCTCGCATAATACATATTTGTTATTCCTAATACATTGTATTAATGATGCGGAAACACACGAGGGTAATAATGTCTTTATCATATAATGTTATTCTTAAAATTACCCGTTCATGATGGCGGCATATGGTTGTGCCTAGTCGCTAATATAGTGCAAACATAACTGATGCTTAAAATAAGATATTTCTGCCTAAAAAGGACAACAAAATCAGGCATTCAACAGAAGAAAGTAGTTCGTGTATTGACCTATAATGCATATTTATCAGATTTGGACACCGAGTTTATCAGATTGCTTTTTTTCATTGATAAAACCCTCCATTATATGATAAAACTTGTTACATCTGACCCCCTTCTGAAAAGAATTGTGTATTCGAAAGGAATATATCTACTGAGGGGGCGGTGGGGTAGCATAGGGGTTAAAGCGTTCGATCGTCACGCCAAAGGCCGGGTTCAATTCCCCACATGGGTACATAGTGTGAAGCCCATTTCTGGTGTTCCCGGACGTGATATTGCTGAAATATTGCTAAAAGTGGCGTAAAACCATACTCACACGCTCACCCATACCCTGCCTGCTTTTAGAGGCAGATGAATGATTAGCAATCCGGTCAGCAATTCTGTTTAGCCTGTCATATTTTGACGAGCTTGACATTTCTCGAACAAATGAATCAGACAAATAGTGTTACACAAGACCTCTGATCACATCGAACAGTAGGATTACCAAAGGCGAAAATATTGTATCTTTTTTACTGAAGGAGAACCCATGTATCTGTGATTCCTGCAACAGATAAGTAGATAAGTACTTGCAATTACCCAAACTGTTGTATTTTCATATTTTCCATGCATTTGTGTACACAAGCAGCTCAAAACAGTATTTGTTAATACTAAATCAATGTTCGAAGTTTACTCTTGGTCTTACGTGACTACTGACCCTAACGACAGAGGCAGGGATCCATATTGCCGTTCAGTAAACTGAGATAGTAGGGGTTGTTACGACAGTATTGGAATGCACTACACAAAATGTACTTACCTCAACTTCAAACAACGCAGAAATACACTGCGTATATTTACCCTGTGCACAGAATCAAATAATCAAACGTTAACTCTAAGTTGCGGGTTGTGATGTGCACGTGCACGAACATGTGTTTGTGCGTGTGTGTGTATGTGTTTGCGTGCGCATGCGTGTGTGTGTACAGAACATTGAGATTAATTGTTCGCGTGCGTGTGTGTGTCTATGTGTGTGTATTTGCGTCATGTGCGTGTGTACGTAAAGAATGTTGGTGGTAATTGCGCATGTGCGTTTGTGAATGCGCGTATGTCAGCGTAGAAAGATGGCAGTGTGCGTCTAGGAAAAAGGTTTCACACACGTGTTTGGTTTTAAAATGTGGAAAACATAATTAAAGATAACAAAATAAATTAAAATAAAAAAGACCCGCAACACCAACACCCCAATGTCCCTGGTGGGGAGAAATCTAAATATGGCCCCTCCCCTAGTCCGACAACTCTTTACTAAAATCATAAACTGAAGGTTAAAACCTCAAAACGGCATCATGTTAAAAAAATCAACCTCAGTTTCTCCAGTCATGATGTTATCTACAAGCCCCCAGCAACAATCCACCACGAACACTGCTGATATTTTGTTTATCACAAAACCAGTTAGACACTTGTAGTGTTTAACAGTAAATAGGATGCGGTGACGTCTCATAACTGTACCACAGTGACCTTTGTTATCCAAGTTCGAGGAAACTCACGCCAGCTTAATTTGAAGGACTGCTTTGCATGGCTAAGTGGGACGATTCACAGCTATTCAATACGAGAGACGCAGCTCAGCATATAAAGGGTTAAAGCGTGAAGCTCAACCCGGAAGAGAATTCTATCTCGGTAATGAATCAGATTAAATTCGTTGAGCAAAGCCAGAACACAGTTGGGCGTACATCAATATCGTCGTGTTGGAGTTTCTATACGGATCATTTGTTACGGATTATATTATATTGGGTAAGTTGCTTTTATTCCTATTGTCAGATATACCTTGAAAACAAACATAGCCTCAAACTTTCGTTTGTCCGCGATTCCACATTTGTCATTGAAATCACACATTCTTAACACCCTAAAGCTTCTGTTGCGTAGAATTTAACTATATGGGGAATGTGATAGATGCTAAGTTGAAGTTTCTGTTGAAAGTACAGTAAGCTATGTCTATAACGAACACGGTTATCACGAACTGGCCATTGACGTTATATATATGTCGAAATGCGTGTAACGAACAAGGGGTATGACCTAAAGAGGAGCTTTTTATGGATGTCAACTTGTTTATTATGAGGAACGCGACGCTTCGGAGCATATCCTTACTCCTTCATCTGGTGAATGAATATAACGAATGGGGTAAAACGAACTCTGTAAGCTAGTGTACTGTATTGCCATTGACACTCGCTGGTGAGACATTTCACTCACACGTGATACAGACTAGATACTTGATAGAAAGGACACTCTAGACAATGGTAGTCATTCTAACACGACCGTAAAACCACGTTTGATAAAGATACATGGTCGGAGTTTGTATGGCCAATAATGTGTTCATTCTATATGCCTGTTTAACCGCCGCTTTTTATTTCATCAAACACGCTTAGGGATGGGTACAGATAGTGTAATGTAAATATGTATTATTTTGTACTGCTTAACGAAAACTGGTATGTACACTTCTAAACAGGTAGAACATGTAAAATTCTATTTGTGTTACAGTACATTTTGAGGCTATTTGTAACAGACACACATTACCTGTACAGAATATGTCACTGTTTAAACATCCGGGTTAGAATGTGTTTGTATTGAGTGTTCAGGCGAGTTGGTCGATGCACGTTACAGTATCCTAACTGCTTACACTGATGCTCATGACGGCAATCACTGGATTGTTTGGTTGACGCGAACATGTACAGACCGGCGTTTATTTGGTTGTTGTTTAACGCTGCTTTCAACAATCCCAACAATCAAGTCTCGACTAGACCATCCGATGATTGACATCATGATATACTCAGTTGTCATACGATGACATGTATTTATTCAACAAACAAGTTAACGACCACCCCAATATTTAATTATTATATGGATGATAAGATGAACTATTAGATACTAAAATATTGATAATTGGTGTGGGCCTTGACTATTTTTGTTGAGTATATAAACCTGTCCGCGCGATCCCGTTAGTCGCCTCCTACAGCCACCATGGATTGCTATAGCTCAAATCTTAATGGCACCCGCAATATAGTTTGAATATTGTTGATCTCGGCTTTACACAAATAAACAACAGGATCTGCGACCTGTACCTCCAGTAGTGTATTAGGGGTCTTCCATAAGACACTTACCCAACTCCTAAAGTTTCAGTAGAGGAAATCACTGGGGTGTGATAATCCCCTTTAATCCCTTATTTTGTTCCCTGTGAAATAGCATCCGGACCAAACACTACTACTACTTTTGACTCAATGTTTGTCTATTTTTATTAATTATATATACATGTTATCCAGTTATGCAAATTATCCAGTTATACAACTCAATACAACATCAACATCATATCACATATTACATCAATATTTCACAGCACACCTTTCACACTTAATAACCAGTTAAATGACATACTGAGTCAACTGAGGACATTACAGTTCTGGCACCAGTTGTTAGTTCTCTCTTGTACCTTTCCAAGGCATGGTTCAGTTCAACATATCTTCTCTTCCTAGATCTCTTCTGATCGGCCCTGATTGGAGTGCTGGGTGTACTTGTGTCACAACCAAGGCAGGGGTAACAAATTCACCCTGCACAATCACTGACCCGTAACTGTTAATCTGTTTCAATCCCCCCAGCATGTTGGGTAAGTGGGAATGAGCCGTATATTGCAGCAGTACAGTCTGGCTTGTCAAATATTTTCTGAATAAGCAAGCTGTGGACTCTTTCAAAAGTCGGGTATAAAGGATAGTGTGTTCTGTAGGTGGGGTACACAGACACGCTTGGGGTACTGTAAAGCGTGGGCGATAGCAACTCAGGTACTGGGGTCAATAGTGATTAACATTTTATACGTCATGTACACTATAGTCCGTTTGGCTCAAAAGCGGACCGATGAATTGCAATCTAACTCGAAAACTAATAAACATAAAATACTCAATTAAACGCTGATCATAATCAAAACATCATACCCACTCTGTGTGTTTTTTGCAGAATTTTTGTCCTAAAAATAAAAAAGTTGTTTAACAATCTATCATTAAAATATTGAAACAGTTCACTATTTGTTATGAGGGAGGAGTGCAGAGAAAGGGACAGCCAGGTGTTCGCGAACGGATCGAGACGGCACAGCACAGGTTAATGGATAAATAACTTTGTCTGTGAAAGATCTCATCGGTAACTGGAGCATGGCAGTATGTAACTAGATAGAAATCCGGTCTGTTCCTGTAGTTTTCGGGATTTTTTATTTAAATCCCGAATCTCAGTATACCGCAATGATAAGAGGATTACAGTTTTCCGAGAAAGCTGCAAGTGCATTCTCATCTTTTCGAGGAATTTCTTATTAGATGTCACATTTGATTTACGTGTTCTGAAAAGTCTTAAGTTTGTGGTCATATTTTTATCTATACCCTAAACTGCGTGACACTTATGGGACGTTTACTGTGGTTGTGATAGTGAGCGAGAGAGACGGGACACACCCTCTGGTTCATCACGGAATACGACCTAGTTCACGTCTGAAGAGCCCAATGCGCAAATAACCCTGGGTCCGGGTTAGAATGAACCTTCAGTAACCCGTGCTTGTCGTAAAAGGCGACTAACGGGATCGGGTGGTCATGCTCGCTGGCTTGGTTTAAACATGTCATCGGTTCCCAGTTTCGCAGATCGATGCTCATGCTTTTGATCACTGGATTGTCTGGTCCAGACTCGATTATTATTGCGTGCAGCGTTAAACAACAAACGCAAACATATAGCTGGAATATTGCTGCGTGCAGCGTTAAACAACAAACACAAACACATAGCTGGAATACTGCTGAGCGCAAAGTTTACTAAAAAGACGACAATAAACATTGCTGAGAGCGGCGTTAAACAAAAAAAGAACAATGGCGTAAGCGGAAAGCCACATTTGCCCGGAAGCGTTTGTAATGTAAATGAGAACACTGAGATGACGCGGACATTAAGGTTTACCTTCATCTGTTAACCTTCCTCAATGCAGTCGCAATGTTTAAAGAACGCTCCTCTTTGTTAACGCAGGCCTGTGCGAATATAAAAACCTTGAATCACCATGACACACGAGGACGCCTAAAGTTGATTCTCTCCCTCCCTTCCCTCCCTCCTCTCTCCTCTCTCCCTCCCCCTCTCCCTCTCTCTCTCTCTCTCCCTCTCTCTCGCCATAGACTGACTGACTGACTGTCTTTAGTTTAACGCCGCTTTTAGCAATATTCCAGCGTCAAAAACATCACAGAATCGGCGGGGCCGCTTTTAGCAATATTCCAGCAATATAAGGGCGGGGGACACCAGAAATAGGCTTAACACATTGTGTCCATGTGGGGAATCGAACCTGGGTCTTCGGCGTGACGAGCCAACGCTTTAACCACTAGGCTACCCCACCTCCCCTCGCGCCATAGAATCACTATGAGGACACCTAGAGTAGACTCTCACTACACACACGCACGCACACACATACCTTCTCTTTTTCTGCCACTGTCGCTACCGCTCCTCTTGCATTTAAGTGGAAGCCACCGTGTGGGTTAGACGGCTGATTTTGTGTGCCGGCGATTAGGTGCCTTTCTCTGAGGGTGTGGGTTCGAATCCCGGATGTGACTCAACCCAACAAAAGCATTAGAATCTGTACTTTACTGAGAGCTGTGACGTCAATACGAGTTGTGACGTCAGTGCGAGTTGTGGCGTCAATACGAGCTGTGACGTCAATACGAGCTGTGACGTCAATACGAGTTGTGAAGTCAGTGCTTGTTGTGGTGTCCATTCAAGCTGTGACGTCAATACAAGTTGTGACGTCAGTGCGAGCTGTGACGTCAGTGCAAGTTGTGGTGTCATGCAAGTTGTGACGCCAGTGCAAGTTGTGACGTCAATACGAGCTCTGACATCAGTGCGCGTTGCGGCGTCAATACGAGATGTGACGTCAATACGAGTTGTAAGGTCAGTTCGAGTTGTGGCGCCAATACGAACTGTGACGTCAATACGAGTTGTGACGTCAGTTCGAGTTGTGGTGTCATGTAAGTTGTGACGTCAGTGCGAGTTGTGGCGTGGCGCTGGAAAGAATCCAATGACGTTATATTTGTACTGATTCCACCTAATATATAGCTTCTATCCTACAGAACATCGTTTGTTCGCTGATGCCCACGTTCACACTATTAATAAGATTACCATGACGTCCCCACAAAACAAGGAAACTTGACATCGACGACATGATAACAAGACGTGACTTATTACAACCTGTCGCGCAGTTAGATTGAACCTACTTGCTATTTCGGATTGAAATATGCTAATGGCTTTTGAAACGCATTAGATCGTGTTACTTTCCTGGTCACAACAGTTTTGAAATAATGTGATTGAACACGAAAAGATTTATATAGAGAACACACTCCCAGCATACTGACTATGGGTTCGAATATCGGATACATCTCGACATTGATGTGTGCGTTATGCAACGTTATGACAATTTCACATTGAAAACATTTTGTTTTTGGTAAAAGAACGGTGATCTGTGAACAGATCACTGATAATCAGTGCTGAGATTAAATGTTCGCGATGGGTGAGCATATTCTGTTCATGGCCCCCGCCACTAACATAACATATCGCATATTCAACGCTGAAATATTAATCAATGCATGTTAATCACAGGAACTGCATTCAGGAACCCGGAAGTAAATCAAGCGTTTCATGACGAGGTATGTTTTTCAGGGAAAAAAATCTCAAATGTAGATTTTGATAAAACCTTATAAAAGTTTATGAAACGATTCGAATCATGCAGTCGTGTCATGGGCCAA